CTCATCGGTTTGAGGCTTCTGGCTCCATAATTTCTATGACTTTGCCGGCTTTGTCTCTGGAAAAGTCTTTGACTTTTGCCGACTTTGTAATTAAAATTCAAAATTATAATATCAGTGAAATATTTAGATGGAAAAGAAAAAAAGTAAATATGGATGAGTTTATAAGCGAGAAGGAAAAAATTAGTAGTCTTTGACAATCACATGGAAGGAGAATAAAAGGGACCACTTTAAAGGCATTGTGCATATGGTCGAGACTGTGACATGTGCTCATCGCTACCTTCCCCACCAATCTTATTTAATTGCATCTTTACAAAACAAAAACATTATGGGATTCACTATTTTATATTTTGACTTCACACCTATGCTAAATCTCCATACTCAATCCCAATTTTTATTTAATAAAACTGTTACATATAATTGTTCCCAACTACAACAATTAGAGAAAGTCCTTCGATGATTAAAATATAAATCCAAAAAAAGGAGCTCTCACACAACCTCTTTCAAAAACCACGAGGCTTAAACTTTCAATTAAAAAACCCTAATATATATTATTTAACAACTTTCGAACTGTTTTTAACAAAATATCCGGTTTACTTAAAACCCTAATTCACACCAAAAGCCCTAATTTTATTTTGTTCTCATCTTGTTTCCCAATTAAGTTTTTTTTTTCTTTTGTTTCAAAATTCACAATTTTTTTGTGTAATTTAATTTGCAAGAACTTCCCAAATAAGCTCTGGATCGAACGATGGCATCCTCGCAAGTAAAAACCCATCAGTGTCCACTCCCATCATGTCTTCCTCCGCCGTCATCGTCGCCGGAGCTTCATCGGAAACCAAAACCGACGCCGGAGAACTACTAGTCTCGCATCCATCTCCAAAACCCATTTGCGAATTCCAATAACTCTCCTCTGAACTAACCATAGTCGTCGCCGTTACCGCCGGAGAAGACAGAATCTCCGGCGACGACGTATACGAAGAATCCGCCGTCGAGTTCTTGCTCACTTTCCCGCTCTTTTTCGCTCTTTCTCTTCTAACTTTCAGACAAATCGATTGGATCTTCCCGTCGACTGCGTTCTTGAGATCAATTAGCTTCGAGGAATCTCCGAGTCCGAGCAACTCACTCGGGTCTTTGAGATTAGGGAAGTTGAGACGAGCGTATTCGCCACGGAGCTTATAAGCGGCACGATCGTAAGCGTAAGCGGCGGCTTCCGCCGTGTCGTAAGTACCTAACCAAACTCTCATTCTGTTTTGTGGCAATCTTATTTCCGCAACCCATTTTCCCCAATGTCTCTGTCTTACTCCTCTGTAAAGTTTCTTCTTTTTCGTCGTCCTTCCAGCCGCTAACGCAGCGGCGTAAGCGGCGGCTGGAGAAGCGGACGCCGCTTGGAGCATTAGCTCGGAAGAATGGTGATCGAAAGATGAGGAAAACAGAGGAGGAGGAGTGGAGATTGCTCTGTTTTGAAGGTGAAGTCTTTCGATGAGGTCTCGATAGACA